ATGCCACAAGAAAAGTCACCCTGCAATAGCTGTATCATGTCTTGGCTTTTCCTTGCTGTCCCTAACATTAAATGTACCTAACCAGGTTGCCCAAGAGAAGCCCTGACCTCTGGTCTTCTGACTGCTTCCCTTCTTTGCAGTTGAGAAACCTTTCTTTTCTCCACCAAATACTTTCATCCCTTTAAGTCATGCTATCTTCCAGAAGACCAGTGCCTTCCTGCCTTCTAGCAGCAATACTTATCCAGTTATTTACCATGTAAGAATTAACTACAATCTACAAGACTTTCTGGGTGTGCAATCAACAGTAAGACTATTAGGATTATTTTCTTTTGAGATGGGCCTCTTGTTATGGTTGCTTGGACTGTTTTTGAACTCTTTTTTTTTTCAGTCTTTACATAAGTTTATTAGTACACTGTTAATTTCTCTATAGAAAATATCAGATACATAGAAAAGTAGATGAAACAGTTTAATGGACCCCCCTCCCCATACCCATATCTCAGCTTCCACAATTATCAAATCACAGTCAATCTTGTTATGTCGAGAACAATTCCCAATAATGACTGTGTTCATACAAACACTGGTTTTGAACTCTTAGGCTCAAGTGATTCTCCTGCCTCAGCCTCCCAAGTAGGTGGGGCTACAGGGTTGATCTTTGCTCTTTAATGCATCTTTATGTGTTGTAGTGGAGTGGTATGTAATTATTTTTCATGTAGATTAATTGACCCTTTAGCTGGCTTGGGAATTTCTTGTTTACAGGGATTATCATGTTACATAGTCTTACCAATGTCCATCAAAGAGGAGCAGACAGAGTAAGCTGTTGTCTGAGTGGACAGCCTCAAGTTCACCCTGAGGCCACATCACTCCATTTTGATTTTCTGCAGCATTCTACTTCTTGAAACTTCCTCTTGAAATTAAAGAGCCCAAACACTCAAGGAATCCACCTGAATTTTTTTTGTTGTTGTTCTAGACTGGGCTTTGTTTTGGTGGTTTTAATAGAAAATTTTCAATTAAATACATGATATTACACTCTTTCTAGTGGCAACTCCCCTGGGTGTTAAAGGTCTAACATAAAATACTTCAGTCCTTCATTGGAAACAAAATCAAAAGAAAGAACAAAAATAATAATTTCTGTAGTTTCTTTTAGAATGGTAAATTTCAGTGAGGTGTGGTGGTATACACCTTTAATCCCACAGAACTCAGGAGGCAGAGGCAGACAGATGTCTGTGAGTTCGAGGCCAGCCTGGTCTACACAGTGAGTTTCAGGCCAGTTGGGGCTGCAAAGAGATTCTGTCTCAAAAAAGACAAAAAAACAAAAAAAGAATAGTTTATTTTTTCTAATTTATTTTTATTTTATGGACATGAAGTCATGCCTGCATGTATGTTAGTGCATCCATGTCGTGTGGTGCCCATGGAGGACAGAAGAGGACGTCAGATTCCCTGGAACTGGAATTACAGATGATTGTTAGCTGCCATGTGGGTGCTGGGAGTTGAACTTTGGTCTGTTGCAAGAACAGCCAATGTAATACCACTGAGCCATTCTTAGCCCTAAGAATAGTTACTTTCTTAAAGATTATAGTATTTTCAGGAAATAAATTATAAAGAGAAAACCCATATCTCAGTAAAAAGTTGTCACATAATTAGGAAAAGATAAAAACACCACAAATATTTTGCCTCACAGCAGAAATGGAATTATCATGGGGTCTCTGTGCTGGGAAAATGCTGAACCAGATCTTAGTCATGTAGGAGAAACATTTCTTTGCCAAAATTTTATTAATATCAGTATTGCATAAATTTGCAGTTGTGGTTTCACTATTAAACAATACTTCCCCCACTCTAGCAGCTTTCTATCTGAAGTCCTGTAAATCCCTAAAAGGGCTGCAAGGCTGTTAACATTTTCATTGTTTGCTTTTCTATTCAGTGGGACCCTGGGTCCCACTTTGAGGGGAACTGTCTAGAGCCCTTTAACCTAGGAGCAATTTAGTCTAATGAGCAATCTCTTTTTTCAAAGCTCTTAACCTGGTGCCAGTGGATCCCTGCAAGGTGCTTGAGATAAATTCAGGGGTCTGTGCATTTTGGCACAGTGAAAACTCTCTCTGTTTTCACTAAGCTCTAATACAGGGGAATATAAGAGATGGCTCAGTGGGTGAAAGCACCTGCCTCCGAGTCTGACAGCCTTAGTTCAATCTACTACCTGGGATACACATGGTAGAAGAAGAGAACTGACTACCTCAAGCTTTCCTCTGACCTCACTTGTGTGCAGTAGAATGCTCATGTCATCCGGCCCCCACACACAAATACTAAATGTAAATTTTAAAAAATGATTTTAAAATATTGTGCTACGATACAAGAATAGTTAATTAAGTCCCTCACTCAATTGTCATTTTTGATATTTGTTAATTGACCATATGAATTTAAAGAAGTGGAACGATATACTTGGACAAGGTCTTGTCCTCATGTGACATCCTCCAGACTCAGATTAGCACCTGTTCCATTCAATGAAAGAAGATAGTAGAAACTCCATAAATATAATTATTTTGTTGGCCTGGGATGATAACTCAATTGGTAAAGTGCTTGCTTTGTCTGAGTTCGACCTCTACCCCAGGCCCTTTATTTGAAAAAAAAGCCAGGTATAGTAGCCCTTGAGTTTGTAAACCCAGAGCTGGGAAACTGGCTTCCTGGCCAGTTGGCTTAGCACGCTTGGCAATGAGAGACCCTGTCTCAAAAAACAAAGTGAACAGAATCTTAGGAATGATAGGCCTACACACACACACACACACACACACACACACACACACAAGCACACACACATATACCTACCTGCACGTGCCAATGCTCATCTGCACATACATGCGCATATCTGATACACATATACGCAAATAATAAATGAAGAGTAACATGTTGTTATTGGAGGTAGTAGTAGTAGTAATAATGCATACATTCTTTTTAAAATTAATTTTTATGATTTATTTATTTTTATTTTATGTGTGTTTTCCCTGCATGTATGCAACTGCACCCGTTTTGTGCAATACCTGCAGAAACCAGAAGAGGGCATTGGATCCCTTGGACCTGGAATTACAGATAGTTGTTAGCTGCCATGTGAATGCTGAGAACTGAACCTGGGCCTTCTGCAGGAGCAGCAAGTGCTTGTAACTGCTGAGCCACCTCTCCAGCCCCACAATGCATACATTCTTAAAGTCTACTGTGTCTCCATTGATTTTAATTGTCAAAACCATCCTGATGATAATACTATTATACCTGAGTTCTTATTTAATTTTCATTCTTTTTAAAGGAAGAGCAGATGGGATTACATCTACATGAAAGATGAGAAAACTGAGGGCCAAGAAGACCAGAAGCCTCACATTTTATTAAACTTAAAAAAAAGATATTCTATTTTTACTTAGCAACTGGATAAGTTAGGGATGTTGCAGTAACTGTCAAGGCTAGGATTCGAATTCAGTTTGGTCAGAGTCCAAACTCTTGTGTATTTTCCATGGTATTGTGCTCCCTACCTTGCAATTCCCATTTCTGTGTTAGAGAGTTGAGGTGGTTAGAACTGACATGCCCCACCTCTATCCCAAAACAATTGGTGAATCATAGGGGCATCCCCAAGGGAGAGGAATAAATAGCATTTGCAGAGCTTTGGCACACTCTTAGTTGGCTAGGGGGCGGGAGGAGGGATGTGTTTGGGGATGTTAGGATGCTCTCTCCTTCCAAACCCTACACCGCCCCCCCCACGTCACTGTGGTCCAAAGGCTTCCCTTGTTCTTGTGTGGAATATCATGCACAGAGCCATTCCCAGAGGGGAATGTGTGCTCTGACTCAGTAACTTGCTGTGAAATAGAACCATTAAATGTAGAAATAGATCTCAAGTTGTAGGATTAAATCTGACTAGTGGGCAATGCCTGCATATCTTATTTTCCGTTTATGTGAAGATCAACGCTGCTATTTATTTGCAAGCTTTTAAGAGGCAGAAGGCAGAGAGGCATTTTCTCCCTACGTCTCATTCTTCCAGCCTTCTCATTGCTGCTAAACTGCTAAAATTCCAAACGGAGAGCATGCTGTTAATCCCACTGCAAGGGCAGGCGACAGTGGGAGTCTTTGCACTTTTAAAGAATGCCATGTTTAAGAGGGCTAGAAAACACATCCACAGAATGTCCTCAGAATGCCAGCCCTTGCGTGGTACAGACTCATCCTGACCACCCTCCTTTTTTCTGGAAGCTCTCATTTTGGTCATTGTGGCAATGGCATATTTCATGTTTAAATTCCAGTGAGACTGATAGCCTCCAATGTAATTTCTATTCTTCTCATGTGTTGTCCATTTATTGACACACTGTTCTTAACCCTTGTTTAAGTCATGTACATCAGTCTCTTCTTATTTTTACTTATCATGGTGAAACCATTACTTACAACACCAGGCACATTTAAATCTGTTTTTCAAACCCTTTTCTTATCAGATCCATTTTAAGAGCCTGCCACATTCAGTGTGCAAATTTGTCTTCTTCCTATCTCAGATCCTCGACACTACAAAGTTAGTTTCCACTTAAATGTTTACAAAAGGTTTATCTTTCTCAACATTTTGCCAATTAGTTTTATGTTTCAGAGATAAGAACTAAAAAACAATAAAATAAATTCTAACTTTGGTTTCAGCAACAAACTGTCCAACAATATGCATGCAAGTCTCCTGCTCCCCCTGGCCAAAAAAAAAAAAAGTTTTATCCCCTCAAGTCTCTAAAAAAAAAAAAAAAAAAAAAAAAAAAAACTAGCCAAGTATTTTAAAATTTCTTTTCATTTGGACTGTAGTCATGCATTACCTGGTATACTGCTAGACTCTCCTTTAAATAACATGGAGAGTCAGCAGTTGTTAAGCGGTTGAACATCTGCAAGGAGACAGGAGTCATGTACAGTTTTCTCTTTGTCATAGTGGCTCAAGAAAGATGTCAGAACAGCCAAAGTGTAATGACTTTCCTTACTCTCTTCTCTCGCCTGCCCTGTCTCTTCAGGCACTTCCACAACTTACAGAATCTCAGTTTGGCTTACTGCCGAAAGTTCACGGACAAAGGTTTACAGTACCTGAACTTGGGAAACGGATGCCACAAGCTCATCTATCTGGACCTTTCCGGCTGCACCCAGGTTTGCCTCTCAAACTTCTCTGTCCGGCAACGGGCAAGGACGTCTTCCAGAGAGCCAGCTGCATCCAGCCCTCATGTTGTACTAATGCTGTGCACAGAGCACAGCACACTCTTCTGAGGTTTTAAATTACATGGCCACAGCTGCTTAAATTTTCCCCAGGATCGCCACTATAGGCGCCTGGCTTCCTTCCACAGGTCTGTCACATCAACAAACAGGCAATGCTCATTGGATGATGAAACAGACCACTTCTGTGGAGACATTCTGAGCACAGTTAGGAGGGCAGAGTCCAAATCTCCAAGTTGCTACTAAGATACAAACAAAGGGGTGCAGTGGGGTGGAGCGGGATTACATAGAATTCTTGAAAAGTCAGTTAGGTCCCTCAAGGGCTTTTCTGGGAGTAAAATGCTACAAGCAATAAATGTGAGAAAGGAAAGTCCTACAACAAGGATTGTAAATGTTTAAATTGCTTTCTGCTAGTGCTGAATATAAAGAAGATAGGAGGTCTGTGTGGGAAAACACCTTTGGAGGGAACAGGATTAGGACAGTAGGGCAGGAGGTCAGGTAAAGTTGCAGAGGACAGGGTGCAGTGTTCAGAAGCAATCACTACCTCACTGATCATTTATTCTGTTCTGGTTTTGATAGATTTAATCTATACTTCTTGTAACTATTTTCTTCCACCTCTCTGTATATTTTATAGATATTGATGTTTTAGTATTACTTTATAATAGCGCATATGAGAGCTAGCTGAAATCAGTTGTTTCACTACAACTAGCTGTACTTGTCACTTATTGAGTTGTTTTCATGTGTCAGATCAGACTTACTCCTCGTTCAATGAATGTATTGTGTATTTATTGTGCCCACTTATAAAGGAAGCGACCAAGGCTCCAAGCAGTTAAATCGCTCAGGTTTGCACAGTTATAAGCAGCTGGGGGTGGAGAACACAGGGGAGCAAATGGATAGAATTCTTACACAGCATTGCTATTCCCTAAACATGGTTTCCTAGTGTTCTAGGTCTTAGAAGGAAGGAGAGAAGACTGATCTGGGGTTGAAATGCGTGGAACTTAACACTTCTTTAAAACTGGCCTACTGATGTGAATCAACATCTTCAATGCCTTAAGATAGAGACAGTCTTGAAGTTTGCCTCAGCTTGTTTGAACTTCAGATGTCTTCCTGATTCTAGGCATCTAACATCTCTTTTCTTAGAGTACTTACTTTAGAAAATGTGGAATTGTACATTCTTTCTCTGCCTCATTTTAGATGTAAATCTTTTTTAAAAGCCTTGTGCTGGTTTTACAACCCAGGAATGTCTTTCTCCAGGACCTGGAAGCTATTCCTTTGACATTATCATCATCAAACAGGATAGTGTCATATCTTCCAGTTTCTGTGAGGGTTGAACCCTAATTTAGATGAGCACAATTAGCAAACACAGATGATCATCTCACAGAGAAAAATATTTCAAAATTCAGAGATAAGTTAATGTGCCTGACAAATTCCATTGGCCAACCTCCCCCAAGTATAAACCATCTAGTACTTTTCTACCAGCTGATTCCAGTGCTTATGAACTCTCCCGCAGTGTGCCTACCTTTTTCTTGTTCTTAGCTTCCATGGAAGTATTTTTTGTAATAACACATAATATCATATACACATGCATGTGCATGCACACACATCCTAGGAATAGATGTTTTCAGGCACAGTAGAGTCTAAATCACAAGTTTTACATCTGTGTTCTACTGCCTAAATGTGCATGTAAAACATATTTAATCTGTCTTTAAAGTTTGAGCTGATATTTAAAATCTTGGAGTTTTCACATACATATAAACCTAGATTTAAAAATAAAGAAGGCCAGGTATGGTGGTGCACATTTTTAATTCCAGCACTCGGGAGGCAGAGGCAGGAGGATCTTTGTGAGTTCAAGAAGAGCCTGGTCTATATAGTGAGTTGGGAGATCTTATCTCAAAAAAACAAAAACAACAACAGCAGCATTAACAGCAGCAGCAGCATCAACACAATAAAGAAATGAAATGAAAGGAAAGAACTAGCAGACTTGTATGGTGCCTTCATATGGCCGCAGTAGGCTGCAACCGAGTCAGCCTCCTCCCCTTGAGAAGGCTCCTTGTACTTAGTCTGAAATGCCCTTGTGTTCATTTGCACAAACAACACTACCAGCTACCATCTAATTCATTGCCTATTTGACCCCAGTTGGTATTTAACCTTCATCTAAATGTATAAAGAATAAAATTCTCAGGCTGGGGAGAAAACTCAGTAAACTGCTTGCTTTGTAAGCATGCAATCTGAGTTCAATCCCTAGAATCCACATTAAAAAAAGAAAATCCAGGTGTTTTGGTACACATTTATAATCCCCTATCACTGGGATGTAGAGACAGGAACCCTGGGACTAGCCCACTTGATAAGCTCCAGGCCGGTAAGAGAACTTGTCTCATTTTAAAAACAAGGTGAATGGATCTTGAAGAATAATACCCAAGGTTGACCTCTGGTCTTCATACAACTCCCATATGTTCATACACACACATGTGCACAGGTGCACAGGCATGAATGCACATACATACATGAAGAATTAAACACTCTTAATTTTCCTTTATTTTGTAAATCTCAAACCATGAGTATTTCTTTTATTCATCATTACTCCATTTACATTTGTCTAATAATGCAAAAGAGACTTAATTGTAGGTGTCAGGCACTGTTTCAGGCACTAGGAATTGAACCATTTAAACCTGAGCCCTGTTAGACCCACTAGGAAGTGGGAGTAAGAAATGGCAGGTCATGAAATATAGCTCTCTGTAAGGGATGATGCTGTAGCTTCACAGAGAACCCTTGAAGCTTCATGCTACTGCTCCCAGGAGTTTCTTCAGTGCTTCCCAGGAGGCTCTGCCTATCTTTCCTCTGCTTTAATTTCAAAGAAGGCATTTGATAATTCAGCATTTAACTGTTTTCCCCCGTTAGAAAGAGTTCCTGTCTTCAAAGCTAGAATCTATTTCCTAAGTTTGGAATTCTGTAGTAGGAAGTTACTTGCTAATATATACACCAAGAATAAAGACCTAGTAAGACAAAAAGCCTTGCAAACAGGAGCGTATACCTAAATGCTTTTCAGTGGCGTTTGCCTGCTGCTGATTGCCGAATGCCTGCTGCTTGTGGACATGGTGAAGGAGAGCAGCATGATTGTCTTTCAGGAGCTCTGGATTAACACAAACAAAGTTTACAAAGGATGAAACTTAAATGCAGTCACTACTGCCCCCAAACAGGGGAAAAATCTAATATTGTAAAATATTTTAACTATATGTGCTAGAAAAATTAATACATAAAGGAACAATGCAATGCAGAGTGAAAATTAATTCCATATGCTTTAGAAATACTCTTTATTTTGGGGGGGATTGGATAAACAGTCTAGGTGCATTAAGTAATGTGGCTGATCTTTTTATGAATACCAGAGCTTGTCCATGCACCTGGGTGCCATCTTTAGTATGATGGAGATGATACCATCACTCAGCTTCTCTGAAATGTCTCCCTCTCACTCAGCCCCAAATCAATCATTACCCATAGCAAATCTCTAGCTTTACATTGGTCATTTAAATGGTAAACTTTTAATTATAAAATCTTTTGACTTTTAAAAATATTGTTTTTAATTGTGTGTGTACGATGTGTGTGTATGATGTGTATGCATGATGGGGGGACGGGGGTTAGCACATGCCACAGTGTGCCTGTGGCAGTCAAAGGACAACTTTGTGGAGTCAGTTCTCTCCTTGTACCATGTGTATCCTGGAGATTGAACTCAGATTGTCAGGCTTGCATGGCAAGCACCTTTAACCACTGAGCCATCTTGCTGGTCCTTGACATTTTTCATGTTAAATGTTTTGTATAAAAATTTGAAAATAGGGCTTGAGAGATGGTTCAGCAGTTAAGAACACTGGCTGCTCTTGCAGAGGACCCACGTTTGATTCCCAGCACCAATGTGGCAGCTAGCAACCACTGTAACTCCAGTTCCAGGGGATCTGATGCCCTCTTCTGACCCCTGTGGGCACTGCATGTCACAGGTACACATGCAGGCAATGCACTCATACACAGAAAATAAAATTAATTAAATTAAAATTAATAAAATTTGAAAAATTTGAAAATATGTAAAGAAAAAAGAGGAAATATTTTACATTACTTGAAATTTTACTACTCAAATAATAAATGCTATTAGCATCTCATGACAGAGCTTCCTGGTATTCTCTTTATATACATCTATATTTTTAAATACTTTGTTATATTTTTGTGTGTATGAGTGTTTTGCCTGTGCTATGTGTATGCAGTGCCCCCAAGGCCAGAAGAGGGACTTGTATCCACTGGTACTGGAGTTATGAATGGTTGTTACTTGCCATGTGGATGCTGGGAACTGAACCTGGGTCCCTCTGGACAAACAGCAAGTGCTCTTAACTGCTGAACCCCTATACTTTAAAAAAAATTTAAATGTATTATACAGTATATACACCTTTCAGTTAATCCCCTATAAAGAATACAGTTTTCAATTTCATTAAAGTTTTTCTGTAACTTTAGTAGCTACCTACTATTCTATCACATATTATATAAATAAATCAATATTTATTTAACCACTCATCATTAGCTTGTCAATATTCATAATCATAAATAATGTGTGATACAATTCCTCAGAGACATATCTTTGTATGTATCTATGTAATTTCTTGGCACAAGCTTTTAGAAATGCAACTGAGTTAATCAAAGGATATAGTTATTTTTAAGACCATACATACACCACAAAAGTTGTCAGCTTGCATTTAACTACCACTATAAAACAAGTATCATCAGCATACTCAAAAATCTTTTGTTTATTTGGCATTGAACAAAGCATTTGCTATTTTTACTTTGTAGTTTCTCTGAGCTCTTATAAGGTTAAATGGCATGCAGTGCCTGACATATCATTAGCACATCAGTATTTGTTGAATGACATTGTCCCTAGTCTAGGCTGTGATTGTCAAAACAATTATTAAATTAATCAAAATTTATCTTTTGTGCCTGAGTGAAAAATTCTCTTTGAGAAAAAGCAAAAGATTTATATCCATTTAACAACAACAGCAAAAACTGCTATGGTGCCAGAGGGAAAGACGTGAAGGTTTTCCCAGGTTTTCCTGTGCTCATTTCTGGCTCCCGCCCGAAGTT